GAACACAAGGTACACTTTCTGATCTCCACTTTTCATTATACTCATCTTGAATCTTGAACTGATTTAGGCGTCGATGTACTAACCATGCAGGTCCACTCTGTGCCACCTTAACGGAAATTAAAACTACCGATTGAAGACATTTAATTAATCCACCGTATCAATTTCTAATTCCAAAACGGAATAATATATATAATAAAAAATATTTATCTTATGCTTTCAAAATAAAATTTCTTTTTTAAAGACTTAAACAATTTTTTTTCTTTAAAAACTTATAAACAACGACTACACATTTAAAATAACAATGCTACCTAGGATATTCTTATATACTTCTTTTTATGTGATCACCTAAACCCTAAAAAAGAGAATATTCTTATATACTTCTTTTTGTGTGATCACCTAAACCCTAAAAAAGAAGCTTATAACTTAGGAACATCTCTTTCTACCACATCTCTATGGCTACTTTTAACTCTTTGCCAACATATATCTAATATCCTCTTTACTTTTTTTTAGGGAGGTTTATAGTGAGGTAGGGTGTGCAAAAGAATATACACCCTCTTTATGCTATGGTCACTTTTATTTAGAAAAAAAAGATGTGGACACAATAAACCGCATAACATAAATACACATATGGCTTTCCCTTGCATCAATATCAATATGCAAGTCAAGTCATGAAGCACGTTCCTTCCTTAACCTTCATAACTTGCATCTTATCCAAACCAAGTAAGTCACCGAGTAAGCACTAAGCACCACAATTTTAGTATATTTTTTTTATTCTTTTCTTCTACTCCTTCGTGTCTTAGTCTCAAAGGTTGCAAATTCATCTTACTAAGAAAACCATTCGTCACACTTTATTATCCTCTCTCATAACCTTGCCACATATACTTAGAGACCATTTTCTACCACCTTGTGGGACATTCATTATAAAGACAAGTGGCATCATTTTAGAAATTACTTAAATTTAATTAATTAATATTTCAACTTGTTGTTTTTGAAAAGTTTTGAGATAAAGAAATTGAAACCATGTTTTAATTGAGTCGTGGTTTTTCCTTTTTTGTGTTTTTAGTTTTATGCCAAAAGTCGTGATTGTGTGGACACAACACTTACTTCATTTCTCTTTCCTTCTATGCGTAACGCTTTGTTTATTTTCTTTTTAAAAAATCTTATTTGGTCAAATTTTATTTTAATGAGCCTCTCAATCATTTAGATGCTGACAAATGGCATATTCATAAGAGATTTTCTCCTTACTTAAACTTAGTTTGCAGACACGAAAAATCAAAGATATATATAATATAAAATACACCTATCATGTATAGAATAAAGATATTTCATATAGTTCAATAGAAGATAATTGTATTATTAAGTTTAATGTCATTATCTGAGTTTAAATTAGAAATTTCAATTGTATATGCGAGTTTATAAATAAAATAAAATAGTACAACTTAAATAAATAAGATAATAATATTTGATATTTTAAATTTTAATATATTTATTTAATGTTATATCTTTTATTAATTTATTTAAAATTAAATACAAATTATTACTAAATATTATACTCAATCAGATTTAAAGTATCATATAATCTATCAAAATAAGTATTTTTTACCTATAATTTAACGAATAAAATTTTATTTTTTAAAGATAAATAAATATGATTTGGAGTTATATAATTTTTTTGCAAAATTATTATCAGAATATTTTATAAAATTTAATTAATATGCACGGTCAATTAATTACAATCACTAATTTATTATAGAAATTTAATTTTTATTACAATTATATATAAAATAAAAAAACAAATAGTTATGATTTATTGATAATGTAAAATTTACCCTAACTAGAATTAATAATAAATTTTTATTTATAATTGAACAAATATTTGGTAGCCACACACATTTGAGTATTTAACTTTTTATCTATTAATTATTGCGTTTGACTTTTTTCTAAATAATTTTTTAATAAAAATTATTTAATGTATGCCTTTTCCAAATCAAGTTTTCATTTTTATTTAATATTGATATTAACTAATATAATTTACCAATTTTATTAAATATATAAAAGAAAAAAAAGTGGATGAGTTGTAATTGTGAATTTCCAATTTTATTTTAAATAATCTTGCATGGTCCTCCACAAATGCATATTTTTGCCATATAGAGTGAAGTATTGCATTTAATTAAACATGAGAATCGGTATTTTTGATATCATAATTTAGGCCGAATTAGGCAAATGAATATTTAAGGAAAAACCTTATCTTAAATCTATATCCCAAACAAAGGAATACTCTAGTACGGTAATGTAAGGTGTCAAAAACTTAATAAGGAAATTATTCCAATAAATTGGCCACAACACAAACCAAAGAGAATTTCCAATATCTTCTAAAAGATACGACTTGTTTTTAATCACCTTACCAAACTCCAAAACTTCACATAAAAACAAATAAACCGAATAAAAAAAAATATTAATAAAATATTTGGTTGAGGTATAGTGGTGCACGTCATATAGTTGTAGTTTAACTAAATATTTGTGTGGCTAAAGTCACATATAAGAATCATCATGAACATGTTCAAAAATGGTTGCATTTATTTACATTACAAGAATCTAGCAGTGTCTTAAAAGATTCGTGGACCAACAGTTTTTTGCCACGTGGATGTTGTTACCTAATTATATTTTGCTATGTTTCTACTGCTGCCACGGTGTCATGTTCCCTTAACCAACTAGTAACATCCACCTCTCAACTATAAAGCTCACATTCCACACTCCATCCACATGTTGGATTATTATTATTCTTACGTAATAGGACCAACTGTATATTATTCATCAAATTAATGAACTCTGCTGGGTAATTAATAAATACCGAACACCCCTTCAACAATAAAATTCATCAATGAAGCCAAATTAATATTCGTTAAAGATATTGCAAAAGTAATATAACAATGTTGCTTTATAATTTATTCAATCAACATCACATTATTAAGAAAATGAGAACGGAAATGGAATAATAAAATGAGGGTATTTGTTATGATGTATTAGTTAACATATACATGTTGAAAAATGAGGGTCTTAATCTGGGGTTAAATAGAGTTTCAACGAGGTAGAAAGATATTTGTCATTTGAATGCAGGTAGATCGGTCGCTTCAAGAGAGTGAAAGAGGTCAATGAGAGCACGGTGTCAAACGACCAACCAACATCTAGCCAATCCTAGACCAAAATTTGGAATGAGGCGATCTCCTAAAAAGTATCATGCTTGGCTTGAAGAGTGCTTCAAAATAGAATCCCAACAAAAGATAACTTAGTTAGAAAGGGAATGTTAGATCAATGACATATAGGATTTGCTATAGAGTGTGGGATAAAAGAGTCGATTTTTCACATTTTTTTAAGTGTCCAGTTTTTTCGATGTATGGAATTCTATTTGTAAATGAATTGATGTAATTTAAGATTTTCATAATGATGGTTGGAAGCGTTTGGAATAGTTTGAAAGCTTACTAGGTAAAGAATTATGAAAGTCTTTCGACATAAGAAGATTCAAAATGAAAAAAAAATGATAGAAAAGGCAAGAATAATATCGGCTTAGATGTGGTTTTGAATAAAGACATATTCAATAGTCATTGCCATTGCCATGTGGTGTATGAATCATAAGGTGTGACATATCCATGTTGTGTATGAATCCTAAGGTGTGTCTTGACATCTTGGTCGATTGAGTATGTTTGTCCACAATAACTCTGTCTCGCTGTCAATTCTCTATGTTTTATAAGGATAAGTATTTCGGTTTTGAAAGTTTCAAATTGTTGCTAACTTGTAACTATGTTTATTTCGATCTGTCTTGACATTAGTGCATTTTCTATTACAGTAGAATTGTGTCAAGTTGAGGTTATGAAAGGGGCTTGTGTTGGCTAATATCATGAGATCAACATCTAACTACATTGATTTATATGAAAAATGGTATAGCGAATCCGATTTGAAGTTTTGTTGGTTGTTTGCTTTAGTTTGGTCCTCAAATAAGGTGATTTTTATGCTTACAATTTAAGAATGTAGTAACAAGGTGTCTCAAGACTTCAATTTGCATATATATTTCGTTGTATCCGGTAAAGTTTTATAAATTTCAACATTAGTATCTATTATCTTATTTTATTGTATGATTTAATTTAATGATTTTTGATGTGTAAAAACATATTTCTTTCAAATTTGATTAAATTATAAATAAAATTTTGTTAAGAATTGTCTCATTACACTTTTTATATTAAAATTTTATACTTTATTTTTAAATTTAATTTTAATCTAATCTATTTAATTTTTAATTGAATAGTTCAAATGAAATTGACTACTATGCATTCATAAGTTCTTTTAACCTGGCACAACCATGGTCCCAAAATTATGGCTCACTTAAAGTCTAAAACAGACAACACATTGAAAATTTAAAACAACCAAGTTTGACACACCCTCACTTACAAACATTTTACTCTAACCTATAGAACTAGAATCACCTAAATTTACTTTTTTCAATACAAAAGATTCACGTATATACATCAAAAAAGCTTAAGTATTTATCCAATTATTGTCTACTAGTAACATTAAAATGAAAAATAAAAAAGAGGATCTTAATCTTAAAATAAAAAAAAAAACCATGGATAAGGATTAAAAGTCCAATCCCATAAGAAAAAAACAGTATCAAGTCCTCTGTTCCAAGAATTCTCCATTTAACGTTAAAAACATTACCGTCCTTCACGATCTCATCTCAACGTCACACACCACCGCTTTTCTTAATTATCCACTTTCTTTTTTTCCATGCTGTAATGTAACACAAATATAAAAATAAAAATAAAAACATTATTAAAAAAACAATAAATTTCCAAAACACGTAACACCGAATGTTAGAAGAACAAACACGCACTACATGTGTGTATATATATAAACCTCTTTCAGGTCCTTAAAAAAATCAAACAAACACAACACAAAGGTCAATTACAATTACAAATACAAACACACACATTTTCAAAAACAGGGCAATGAATAAGGCTAATTCATGGGTGAGAGGCAAGTGTATTGGTAAGGGCGCGTTTGGCGTCGTGAATATGGCTTATTCAAAAAGCGATTCTAGAGTTTTCGCGGTGAAGTCTGTTGATACTAAAACAGCGCTTCCGAATCAGTTACAAGCGTTGGAGAATGAGATTGAGATATTGAAACGGTTTTCTTCTTCTTCTTCTTTTTCTCCTCACGTGATATCTTATCTCGGAGATGATGTCACGTGCGAGGGTGAAGGAACGTCGGCGTTTAAGAATCTTCATTTGGAGTACATGCCAGGTGGCACCGTCGCTGATTTGGATCGTGCTGACGTGGACGAACGGTTAGTTAGAAAGTTCGCGTGGTGTTTGGTTAACGCGCTGAGGGATGTTCACGCGCGCGGAGTTGTTCACTGCGATGTTAAGGGGAAGAATGTTCTCGTTGCCGGAGGTTCAGCTTCCGTCGCTAAGCTCGCTGATTTCGGATCGGCGGTGGAGTTTTCCGGTGGGAGATGTATTTCGCCGCGTGGAAGTCCGTTGTGGATGGCACCGGAGGTTATTCGGAGAGAGTATCAAGGACCGGAATCTGACGTGTGGTCGCTTGGATGTACCGTGATTGAGATTTTCTCCGGGAAATCGCCGTGGGAGGATCACGGTTTCGATACACTGAGTCAGATTGGATTTTCCGATGAATTACCGGAGTTTCCTAACGGTTTATCGGAACTCGGGATCGATTTTCTCGAGAAGTGTTTGAGGAGAGATCGGAGCCGGAGATGGAGCTGTGATCAGCTGCTACAGCATCCATTTCTGTTACCGTGCGATAGTGTGGTGGAATCGTCACCTCGTTCTGTAATGGACTGGGTTGACTCGCGATTCACCGAGTCAGAAAACGAGTTTGAATTCGAGGAAGTAAAGTTGAATTGTGATGAAAATTTAGTTAAAAATAGAATTAGTAAATTAGAGACTGGATTGAGGGTAAATTGGGAAACAGAAAATTGGGTAGTGGTGAGGGAAATTTCGTCGGAAGAAGAGTCATCAACAAGAGAAAAAGAAGAGTGTGGGGACGAAGTATCAGGGGCAATATCGGAAATGGAGAATGTAGTGAGGGTAGTAGAGGAAATGGAGGTAGAAATCGAAATTAGTTTGGAATATTCAGATTCTGATGAAAGGGTAAAACGGGAAATGTTGAGGTTGTTGTGGTGGCGTGAGTGTTATAATCAGTGCAAGTATAACCGCAACCGCAGGAACAGCATTATAGGTGGAAGTGGAAGTTGTTGTGGTTGGAGATGTCGGTATAGATACGGTTGGGAAAAGTTTAATAGGAATGTTAGTAGAATATTCATGATTAACGCACTGTGTTGTAAAATAATCAAATCATGTTATTTGTTATTAATATATTATTATCCATTTTGGTTGAAAATTATTAAGGGTGAATTTATTTTAAAGTTTAGTAGAAATCATTTTGAAACTCTTTTTACTAAACAAAGTTTGGTAGAGTTGATTATTTGAAAGGGCTCTAAAACAAGAAGCAATAGTTCCACTATTAGTATTTTATGACCCAACTTAAAATACTAAGATCATAAAATTTAATTTTGTGAATAATCAAATAATGATTTATCAAATGCTTTTTTTATTGGTTTAGCGGTCAAAACTACAATTTAATTACATAGGTTAAAAAGAGGAGTATGACAACCAAATTTAAATTTTGACCATCATATAAAATGTTTTGACAACTAAATCAAATGCTATAACACCAAGACTATCAAATACTTTCTGTATCTCACATAAATGTCATGTTTACAACACAAAAAATTGTTAATTTTAATATATAATAATTGTTTTTCTTCTTGTTATAATTAATTATTATTACTATAAAATCATTGTTACTTGTTTTCATTTATGACAATATAAATATTTCAATAGTTGTTATTTTTAATAATTAATTATTATTACTATAAAATCATTGTTACTTGTTTTCATTTATGACGATAGAAATATTTCAATACTTGTTATTTTTAAATATAAAAAATATTTCAATAGTTGTTATTTTTAAATTAAAAAAATGGATTTTGAAAAATGTCATAGAAGATAAGTCGTTCTTTAAAGCATTTTAGGTTATTTTTTTTAAAATTTGTAAGGTAGATTATCAATCATGATGTCGTGATTATTATTGCATAATAGATAATCGATTTAGAAATATATTCTCTATGATACAAATGTCATTTTAATTTTTTAAACGGGAAAAAATTCAAATAATTTTTCAAAGAAAATTTAATAATGGTCGTTTAACCATCTTAAATAATTCTTCAAACAAATAGAAATTCAAATGATTCTCTAAGAGAATCCAAGAAAATATTTTGAAAATTCAACTAGTAAAAACAAAAAGGAAGAAGCTGACGCTTCGACAATTCGAGAGGGTAAAGTAAAGAGAGTGAATAAGAAAAAACTTAGAAGTAGTTGTTTGTATGTTTTGGTATGAAACATGTGTATTCCTTATATAATGAAGTAAGCTAATGTATGTAATCTAAGCAGTGTAGAACATATAATTTTTCTTAATTAATACACAAAGACACATAATTTTCTAATAATGTAGGACTTAAGGAATTTTTTTTTTAAAACTCATCACTCAAAATGGAATTTTGACAAGTTCTAACAATTTTTCACTTGAATTTAAAAAATATTTCAGAGGTAACGTCAAACACTTTTAAGATTGTGGATAAACAGAGATGTCTACGACTTGAACCTTTACATAACTAGTAAGATTATGATTCAACACGAGTGGCTCATTATCTTGAGCTCTATCTTAGACATCAAATCCACACACAATCTTTTTTTAGGGTGTATTCTATAAGAATGTGTTTTAATGGCCCTGCACGTCAATCCCAGTTTAGTAAAGACTCTAGAAATACTACCTCGAAATTTTATAGAAACTGACCTAATTCCAACAATCCCACATGTGAGTCTAGCAAGAGTACTTATGTAGCTTGCTACTCCATTCATACAAATTATATATCTCATTAAGAGTTTCTATTATCTTATCCTTTTATCGCTGATCCGATGTGCGCACAAATCAAAATTGAGTAATTAAAAACTATAGTTTAGGGAAGCGACACTCGAATATCATATCACAAGGACTTTTGTATTGAATTTTACTAATTGAAATGATGGGGGTTTTAAGGTTTAGGTTTCGAATAATATAACAGTAAAAAGGATTTGATTACGAATAATCTAAAACGACTAATCCTACTGATTTGGGTTCTTACTTATCATTGGCTATTGTAACTCTAATCCCCTAAGCGGCTTCAACTCCATTTGATTATGAAATCAATTAGACAATCGTTATCAATATCATATGAATTATGTTCTTGTTACCGCATTAAGCATGACGATTCAAAGATTAGGCGAAACTAACAAATAAGTTAAGTTAACATGCGATTAAAATTAGGAACATGCATATAATCGAAATTAATTAAGTCTATACTATGAGTAGCAATCTAATTAAGCAAACGAAAGCAATCAAATTAAGCAAACGAATTCATAGGCAGAATTGAACAGAAATCAAAATTGAATTGGAATTAAAATAACCTCAAAGCGGTGGAACCCGTAATCAGCAGAATTCTCCTTAGGGATTAGTTCTCCATGAAAATTACAAAGCAAAGATAAAATAGTGAATAGGTGAATGAACAGTACCACAACTGCTTATTGTTAAAGGAAACAAAGCATTAGGGTTATAATCCTAACCGGGTTGGAAGGCACAAAAATCGGCCTAAAACTAATTATTTTCTAAAGTCTAAACTAAAACAATTTATTCGAGTCTTCTGCACCTTGAATCTGCTTCTAACTTTAACATGAAACTTTTAGCTTATCCTCTTATCTTTTCAACGCCTATTAGAACGCGTCAATAAGATCTCGTATCACAAGTTATAATCTGCACAGCAGAGGGTGTAAATAGCTGTTAATTCATAAAATATCATACGGAATTAAAATAAATGTAACATAAACTAAATTAAAGAAGCACACTAAAATAGTATAAATAACAAAAGACGCTCTAGAATTGTTTCAACATAATAGTGAAAGAATGTGCGTGAAGGTGCATTGATCAAATTCACCCACACTTGAACTTTTTCACTTCAAACAAAATTCTAAAGTTAAAATTCAAAACAGAAAAATAGGAACAAAACAGAGCATGCAAATTCAAAGACTTTCAAAATCACAAGGATGCAAGTAAAATCCTCATTCTAAGCTTCAAGAAATATGGTGTTAGTGAATAAAATTCAATGACATTCAAAGGAAGTAAGAAGATTGTTTACGAAAGAGAAAAATCAAAACTAGCAAGATCCTCACAGGATAAAATTCACTCAACTCCCAAGTGTTTAGGTTATTGTTTACACTCAAAACACATCATGAAAATTAGTACTACCATAAGTTTGAAAAGTCTCTAACATCCACAATTAAAATACACGAACACAAAGATAAAAAATACTTTTATTCAGGTTGTAACATAGCCAAGGTAAGGGAGAGATAAATCCTAATAGGGTACTGTGCTAAAATTCAAAGGAAAAAGAATTGAAATAAACTGCAGGAGTTGAGCTCAATAAAATCAAATTCACTTTCAAACAACAACAACAACTCTTTTCTCTTCTTTTTTCTATATTTTTTCTTCTTCTTATTTTAGAAGGGAAATGAATTGTCATCCTTCTTTTCTTTTTTCAATTTTTTTTTCTTTTTCTATTTTTTTTCTCTTTTTAGTCAGCCTTTGAAATATCACAGCTATATTAATTCAACCTCACACAATTTCAAACAAGACTCTTTCAACCATTTGAATAGGGTGATAGTATTATTTTTTACTTTTAGGCTTATAATGAGTTTTAAATAAAGAAAGAGATAAATAGGCTTAAGGGGGTTTCAAACAAAGGATGATATTTTTAAGGTTGACTTTTTGGTTAATTGGCTAAAAGTAAAATATAAACAACTTGCCTTTATCATATCAATGTGCATAAGTAAACAAACAGTTTCAAAAAGAGTCAGATCAAGTTCTAGAGATTAACAGACATGAGTGAAATAACACAAGAAAGAAAGAGAAGTATTTTATAATGTTATCCATTATTAGGCTCAAAATCTCACAAAGGTTAATGATTTACCACTAATGAAGCATAATTCAGCATTTAGTCATACTTATCACACTAAGAATGCTCAACAAATCAATCACATCACACCATAAGTCTTTAATCAATAGAAAAGATAAATTACTCACAAAACACTTGCAACCCAAAAATCAATGAAAATGTATGCAGTTTTTTTTAAGAAAACAAAACAAAAAAAGTAAATGAAGAAAACAAAACAAGAAAAGTAAATGACATTCATCCCCCGCACTTAAAACACACATTGTCCTTAATGAAAGAGACAAACATAAAATAAAAGAGAAGAGAGAGGAAAGAACACACCCAAGAAGTCAAGGCTGATACATAACTGCATAAGTAGCCTTTCCCAATGAGACCTCCTTTACATTTTCTTCCAACATGGGGCTCTCATGCAATAACTTAAGCTGATGTCCATTGACTTTGAAATTTTTATTAGTACCTTCACTTTTTATTCCTAGATCAAAGGACATCTTCTATAGGTAAAAGTGTTAAATGAGCAAGTGAAAATAGTCTTCTCTTAATCCTTTAGTGCAATATAGATCACATTTTTCATAACATCCAAAATAAAGGAGTTAGGCCGCCTTTGGGGTTGTCTCGCTGCTTTTGCTTCATATTCAAATAAGATTGTATGCATACACATGGACAAATTAATACCAAAAATGTCATTTCTTTCTTATGTTCCTGCAATAACTATAACAACTTTAGTTCCTGTTCAGATTCAAGTTTAGATGAAATTATTACCGACAAATTTTCATTAAATTCTTAAAAATAGGGAGTGACTTTAGCTCTAAAGTAAGTGGTTGCACAATGAATGACAAACTTTTGGCACTAAGAGCTAAATTTACATTTGCAACATCAACTTTTTCAGTTGAAATCTCATAGTCAATATCAGTAGAAATATCACCTTGTAAAACAACTTCAATTTCAGTACAAACTGAACATAAGTGACTATCAGTACATAATCACAAGTATAAGTATCATCAAAATCAGACAAAGAAGGGAAATCAACAAAAAGTGAATCAGGTGAAACAAATTCTCTTAAGGTTTTAATTTGATCAATGAAATAATTATCAAATTAACATATAATCAAATAAAATCACTATCGCTAATGAGAATCAAATCAGAATCAAATTAGCACAGAATCAAATAAAACCAGAAAGCACTGCAATGTAACAATTACAAAAATACCAACAATGTCCCTAATGAGAAAAAGAATGGAAAAATAGAAACACAGTTAAAATAAAATCTTTAAAAATTATGAAAATATAAATAAAAATCAAATAAAATAAAATAATGAACCTACAAATATTTTTGGATGTTTTTTCAGAATATGAAAACATAAAATAAATCAAATAAAATAGAAAAAAG